GGGCCCCCCGGGGGGGGAGCGGCCCCCTTTTGCCCCCCTTTTCCAAAACCCCCCCCCCCCCCTTTTTTTCCCCCCCCCCCCCCCCCCCCCCGGGGGGGAGCTTTAGAGTCCCCTAAATGAGACACCAACCGACCGTGTGACCCCACCAATGGATTCCTCGTTCGGAGCTATCCATTGGTGGGGTCACACGGTCGGTTCGAGTCCCATTTAGCGACTCTGGAGCTCAAAACGCGTCTCGAATTTTGGCCACTCCACCGGTCTTCTGGCCCACTGTGCAGTGTGCCGCCTCTCTCGCACCCTCACGGGGCGCCCCACGAGAGCGAGCGAGACAGCGCGCTGTGCGGAACCACGCCGTGCCGAGGCGCAACTTGCCTCCTGACAAGAGCGCGTCACGCGTGCGTCACAAGACGTCCTCGTTTGTCACCTTCGCCTCCGTCGCTGTCTCTCTCGCACCGCGACTTGGACGGCCCGCGAGAGCGACAGAGACAGGCGTCGCCACCCGTAGGTAAAAGTAGTGGCGCCATCGCGCTGATGGAGGCAGAGCGCCAAAAACGGGTGCGCCTCTTTTGTCGATCTGTGACTGACACGCCCCGGGAGAGGGCGGGCTGCTGTCACACTGTGCACCGCCCTGCACCCTCGGGGGCGGGCAAGGCGGGCAGGCAGGCAGCCAGCCAGCGGAAGGGGTTGGAGCGACCCTGCCCTGACTTAGCGCAACCTGTCTCCGAGTTTCGCCTCGCGTTCGCCCCAGCGAGCTGTTCAGTTCAGCTGCTCTTGGCTGCGCGCTGTGCCGCGCTGTATGCGCCGCGCGCCCCCGGGGTGGCCCGGCCGCCACCCTCCGCCCGGGACACGCACCGCTCTCTCTCTCTCTCTCTCTCTCTCTCTCTCTCTCTCTCTCTCTCTCTCTCTCTCTCTCTCCTCTCTCTCTCTCTCTCTCTTCGCTCTCTCTCTCTCGCACCCCTATACGGCCCGCCCCACGAGAGCGGGAGAGACAGAGCGCACTGTGCGTCGCGATACACGCCCCGCCCAGGAGCGGCATCCGATATCCGCGAAGCGAACTCTCCTTTTTCACACCGTTTTCCCGCGCCTTCCCTCTCTCTCTCTCTCAGTCACTCACTCTGTCTCTATCTCTCTATCCCCCGCGGGGAATTTACGTTTATCAAAGTTGGCACATCTCGCCAGAAATACAAACAAGGGAGTGTGTACGCTTTTAATGCGGCCCTAAAGCACCCCGCATTTATGTACCTGAACGAAACGCGCATACAGTGAGAGCCCTTCTCGATGGCGACAAACACAAACACACACACACACACACGTACACACAACGCTCACGCAGCGCGTTTGAGTGTGTGTGTGTGTGTGCGCGCGCCGATTGCTGATCGCCAGATAAGGTTCGCATCAATTTTAAATCAGTCGACAATGTCGCGCAGCCCAACAAGCAGGATAGCCCCTGACCACGCGACCCGAGCACTTCGAGTGCGCTAGTGTGAGTGTGTGTCTGTCTGTCGGTGTAGCGTGCAGGTGTGTGTGTGTGTGCATGTGTCGTCACCGCGCGTTCCACTTTTTCACCCCCTTAGCCGTGCAGGGCTTTATTGATGAAGCCGAGAGGCAGACGTTGTCGTCGTCCGGTAGTCCGGTAGCAGCAGGCCCCGGCGGGGCTGGCGGGGCTGACGGGGCTGGCAGTCCTGGCGGGGCAGGCAGGGCTGGCAGCCCGTCATTACCCGGCCGATGCTTATCGCGCCACTGTAATCGGTTTGTCATTTATACGCGGCTCGGCACGGCGCGGCCCTCCAAGGGCTGCAAGCTCCAAGGGCCCTGTGCATAATTTATTGGTCACGCGAGCGTCTCCGTGCCCCGCCGTGCTGCGCCGTGCTTCCCGGTCCGTGCCCCACAGCCAGGCAGGCAGCCAGGCAGGCAGCCAGGCGTGCGTGCGCGACGGTGCCCCCGAACGAACCCCTGGACCGAGTACCGAGGGCCGATATGGAAATCCGCAGGACCAGGAAGGATGCAGCCAGCCCAGCCAGCCAGCGCCGTCCTTGTTGGCAAACCAACAGAGCTCCGTCTCCCTCGCACTCGCGGGGCGGTCCGCATGGGTGCGAGGGAGACAGAGCGACGGCGCCGCGGGGACCGCATCGGGGCCCCGCCACATCGGGGAGGGAGGGGGGTGGGGGGGGGCGCCGCACTTTTCTTATTCTGGGCGTCTGGGCCGGCAGCTTATTTCGCATTCAAGGAACAAATTCCTGGGCGCCTCGGGTGCCTGGAATGAGCATCGTCTCCAGTCTCCGCCCCAGTCCTCCAGCGCCTCCAGCGCCTCCAGCACTGCGCGCGCCGGGCCCTCGGCCTCGGCCGGGTCCTTAGTCGGGACCAGGCTGCGGCCGCACCTGACAAATAATTTCTCGCAGGCCGAGCGGAGTCGCCGGGCCGATCCACTGGGAGAAGAATTAGCCGGACGATTGCCAGCTCCCGATTGACAAACAAATGGGACTCTTTCCTCGTCGAGGCGGCGGCGAAATCCAGCACCGCCTCCAGTTCGGTGGCTCCGGCCCACTGCTAGCTCTCCAGCCGCTCCAGCAGACGGCGCGGACGCCTGGCGACGCTCGGGACGGCCCGCTATCGCGTCGCCCGCACCAGCCTGCAGGCTGTCTGGAGTCTGGACAAACTTGCAGATAAGCCCGCTAGACTTTCCGGGCCCTCTCGCGGCGCCGCCCAGCCCGCCAGCCAGCCAGCCAGCCAGCCAGCCAGCCAGGCAGAGCAGCGCGCCGACGCCGCGGATGACTCACACATCACGGCCTCGTTGTACTCGCCGCGGCGCCTCAAATCTCCGCCAGTCGAGCGCTTTATCGCTTTACGGCGCTTTAGGGCCGCCGGGACAAACTCGGAGCGCCGCGCGCCGCGCCGAGCGCCAGGTGGAGCCCCTAATTCCCCTGTCAATGAGCTGGACGCACACTGTGGGGCAGAACGGCCAGATAGCGCCGTACAAGTTTACGCCGCCGCCATCCCTCATCCGCCCGCACGCCCCGCGCGCCCCGCGGCCCGTCCGTCCAATCGGGGGCCGCCACGCCCCGCCACGCCCCGCCCGGCCGGGCCCCAAAAGGGCGCACTACACGCCGAAACGACGGCCGCGACGGCATCGACACGTGCAAGTAGTGTTCAAACACACACCGTCTTTTCGCACGCGATTGTAAACTGAAAAATTACGACTATGGCCGCACCATGACGGAAGGGGGCAGTGGCGGCACGGCGCGGCTCTCGATCCGGGAGGGGGGGGGAGGGTGCCCGTAAAGCCGCCGTCAATGACTATACTTTTATGCCCACTTACGGGGCGGGCGCGGCGCGCGGCGCGGTCCCAACCGGGCCGGGCCCACGGCAGGGCCCCACCGGGGCATGTGTTCGCGGGAGTAAAGCCCCCCGGGCCTGCCGCCAGCCACGCCAGCCAGCCATACCGTCCGGCTGGACACTTTGATGGGGGTGTACCACGACTTAGAGGCCAGGCGGCAGCCCCTCGCCAGTAAAGCCCACCCCGCCCCGCCCCGCCCCGCCGGGAGGAGGTGGCTCATGCCAGCAAATTTGCCCTTTGCTCGTGCGGGGCTGCGGGGCTGCGGGGGCTGCGGCCGGCCGGCTGCGGGGTCCACGTCGTCGTGCAGCGCGCAGCCGCTTGCAAATAACTTAACGCAGTGGTCATTATTCATTGGTTGGCTTCCAGGAAGAGTGGTCCGGGGCCCGGAGCGGCGTGGCGCCGGCCATCGCTACGGCCCCAACGCTGCAGTCGCTACACGATAGAGACAAGAGGACGCTTGTTCCCCCTCCACCCGATCGATCCCCGACCCTCCCCCGCCGCGCGCTGCGCATTCTAGCACTATGCTCTACGGAGCTCAAATCTCCCTTCCCTCCCCTATGCTGCTGCGGGCCCCGCTCCCCGCCCTCCCCGCTACCGTGCCAAGCAAGGTGAACAGCAGCGATTTTCGTAGACGTCACAAACTGACAGTTTCGCAACGTTCTTCAGTGGACAGCAAAACATGATTTCATAGCAGCGGGTTCCCAAAGTTCAAGTTCAAGCTCAAGTTCAAGTCGAGTTAAGCAAGTTCCGTGGTTTCACGGCGGCGATCCGAGCGAGTTCGATTGACGGCCTATTTGAGGACATTCCACCCGTAGGGTCCCACCCACAGGGTCCTTGCCCTGCGATTCCTCTTCGCGGAAAAGGGAGGAGGTCCTTGCATGCAGGACGCTCCTGCAATAACGTGTCAGGGTAAAGCGCCGGGCCGAGCCCTGAGCCCTGGCCGACCCCTGGCCGAGTCCTGGCGAGCAGGAAGAGCCCTTCCTTCCCGCGAGTGCCTCGCAGTGCCTCTCCTACACTACAACCTCGTTGAGCGCTTACTCCCGGACGGTAGACTCGCCCGCAAAACACGCCACTACAGCCATTTGCATAATTACACTTAACGGAGCCGTTTTATTCTGGCGGCTCAAGCGCTCCCTCCCTCCCTCTCTCTCTCTCTTTCCTGACCCTTCCGCAGTCGGTAGTCCGCAGGTCTGCCGCCGGGGAGCGCTCCTCCAAAAAGCCCCGCCGCATTTTTCATCATTCGACCAGTGTCCACCCGTTGTCGGGCCGTTGGGCTGCACCGGGTGGTCGCGCCGCCCCGCCCCGCCGTCATGGAGGCCGTTCTCGCCACCAATAACAGTAATTTCGGCGCCGGGTGGTGGCCGCCGGGCCGCCTGGCCGGCCGGCTGGACTTGGGCCCTGGCCGCCGGCGGCACCGACCGCCGCACCGACCGCAGACTTTGCGCGGATCGGCGCGGCAACGGCTGTGGCCGCCATAATAACATTGCACGTCGCCCAACCTGGTGCCTCTGCCCTCCTCTCTCCGTCGGACGGGTGGGGCGGGCGGCGCTCTCTCTCTCTCTCTCTCTCTCTCTCTCTCTCTCTCTCTCTCTCTCTCTCTCTCTCTCTCTCTCTCTCTCTCTCTCTCTCTCTCTCACTCGCACACCGCTACCCTCTCGACACTTACCCGTAGGCCGCGAGCGTGGGGTCGTAAGGGTAGTACCCCGTGGTGGGCTGCAGTCCGGCCGGCGTCCAGGCCGTCATGTCCGAGGACCCGCTGTCCTTGAGGCCGTAGGGATTGCTCTGCAACAACAACAACAACATCATGATGAGCATGGGCACGGCGGGCACGCACGACACTCAGGCACTTAGCGCGACAACGGCGAGGCGGCACGCCGCGGCACGCGCGCACTGCCACAGCGAAGAGAGCGCGTCAGGACAGTCGGACAGCGCGCTCATCAGAGGCGGCGACAAAAAAGACAACAGACGCGCCGTCTCTCTCGCACCCTTGCGACGCGGCGCGTGAGTGCGAGAGAGACAGAGCGACGATGACGCTGGCAATGCTGGCGCCGGGCACGACGTCGAGTGGACGCGGAGTGGACGATAGCCAGCGCAGCCATCGCAGCCAGCGCCGGGGAAAATGAAAACCAAAACGGTCCTTTGATGGATATCGGGATATCGGCTCGGCGGCCGGGCCCCCTCAGCAACCCCCTGGAGGCCGAGTGCGAGGCGGGGGCGGCGGGGGCGGCGGGGGGGCGGGGGGCGGCACGGCAGTCACGCGCGTGCGCCGCCAGAACTTTGAGTGTGACCGTCGTCATTACACGCGCGTGAGAACATTGTAATTGCAGGCGCTTGCATGTGCTCGGCGACACAACCAGCAACGCACGGCACGCCACGCCACGCCACAGCCCTGGAAGGGAGATACAGTATCTCGGTCTTTTCGGCCCGGACCCCAGTCCAGACACTGCGAGCCTGGGGCCAAGTTCGCGTCCAGAAGGGGAGCGCTACGGGGAAAAATCTCTTTTCTTTTTGAATTTCAATGAGGGGAAAAAAACCTTGCCGATAACAGCAGACCGCCCACGTGGCCGCAGGACGATAGTCCGTTCATCAACATTGAATCATTTCGAGTACTTTTCGAACACCCGGGCACCTGCTGCAGTGCTGTCGCACGCCGGCCCGGTCGTCGGTTATTGGTGCATTTATGGCAGAGCCGCTCCGCCATTGGCTGATCTAGATACACGACGTCCTGGAAGCCCCGGAGCCGAGGCAGCGGGGCGGAAACGGAGAGAGGAAGAGGGAGATGGAGAGCGAGGGGAGAGAGAGAGAGAGAGAGAGAGAGAGAGAGAGAGAGAGAGAGAGAGAGAGAGAGAGAGAGAGAGAGAGAGAGAGAGACGGCCGTCGTGGGAACCATTGGCTGCCACGGGCAACATGCCACACAGGAACTCTACAAATTCGCGACAAGACTACATGAATATTTTTGTCCTCATTTTGCGCTGGCGCGCTGGCGCCGTGGCGCGCCGTGTCGCGTTTGCAGTGTCGTGCGATTCCTGCAGCAGAGGGAAATTGCTCCGAGGGGCATTATGAGAGGAGTTGGCCCGGAAGAATGAATTTATAAGGTCGTGAGAACGAGCGGGCCCGGCCCTCGGCCCGGCCGGCATGCGCTGCGCGCCTCCGCGCCACCACACTGGTACAGGTACGTACACTGCATTGTGTTGGCCCTCGGCCTCGCCCTCGGCCGGCAGCGCGTTCCGGCTGCTCCACTGTTCCGGCATCGACGGACACAGACACTGCGCGGGAATCGCGAATCATCCTCGCGGATTCTCAGACTTCGGCTCGCCTCGCCAATCACCGGGCAGAGCAGCCGAATCATTTGCCGGCTCGGCTCGTGAGTCTGCACCATCGTCTGTCCCTCTCGCACCCCCACGCAACGCGGAAGGCCCCACGAGGGCGAGAGAGACAGCGACGAAGCGACGGAATCGCAAGGCCTGCTAGCAGCAAGCAGGGCCAGCAGGGCCACCAGGGCCACCAGGGCCAGCAGGGCCACCAGGGCAAGCGGGGCAAGCGGGGCTCAGGAACTTGGCTGCAAAGTCATGGCCGGGGCGAAGGCGAAACTTTGGGCTGAGCCGCGCCGCCGACGCGCCGCCCCGGCCGCTCCGGCCGCCCCGGCACGCCCCTTCGAGGAGGGCGTCGTCGGCGAGGAGGGTCGGCGTTGCGCGGCGCGGCGCGGAGCAAACTACAAACTTTTGCCGATACTTGGCGAAGACTACACTTAGGCCTGTAGGCGGGACTAATTCCGCTTGTGACTCGACGCCGCTGCCGCTGCCGCCACTGCCGCCGCCGACCCGATCCCGCTCACGCACGTCCACACCGAGAGCGACAACGCGGCAGCGGCCAACTTCGGCGCCCCACAAGTTATCGCCAAAGCGTGGCGCGGCGCGGCGGGGCGGATAGGTATTAGCGGTTCGATTGAAATTACACGGCCGATAACCGATAAAGCCTCTGATAAGGCGGCCGCAGTGATTACGGCGCCGACATGAAAGGGCCGCCGCCGACGAGAGGCCGGCGTCGACGCCGCGGCCGCGGACGGCGAGGGCGGCGAGGTGAGGGCCGCCGAGATTCGGGATTGCGGCGCTATCGTCACAAAGCGCGCCGCCAAAGGCCGATAAGCGCGACAGGTGTCAATCGCTCGTCTGGAAGGGCTTAACGCGCGGACGACGGCGACCGCGAGGACGCCGTCAACGAGGCCCGCTCTCCCTCCGCCGTTCGGTTTCAACCCTTTTCCCCGCGCCGCTCGTGAAGGGAGAGAAACCGCGGCATTTATCCCGGAGGCGTGGCGTCGCCGCGTCGCGTGGCGTGCAGTGCCAATATTTCGGTGGCCGGGGCGCCGGGGCGCCGGGGGGTTGGGGTCGCCCCTGCCGCGCGCGGCTGCGGCGCACGGCGCACGCAACAGCACGATTATTTTTAAAAGCACGCCGTCGGCCTCCCTCCCGGCGTGGCCAATCATTGACGCTCCGGCACCGCGATATTGCTATTCAAGCCGAGCACGGGGGCTTTGCGTTCTTTTATCCTCGTTGCTGTTGTTTTGTTTTTTTTCGAACGGATATTGACGTTGGCGCGCGCGGACGCTGCTAACTAAACCCACGACGCGGGTAAGCCGACCAGAGGAACAACGCGGAAAACCGTGCGCACCTCGAGAGAATTTACAGATTTGCAGTAGTTGTTCAAAAACTTGAAAACATCGCATTCAAACGACAACTTTTTTCCTAAAAATATCAGACCAAAGGAAATGGCCGGGCTGTCGCTACACTGCCTCACGCGCACCTTCCAGGGGCGCTCCATGCGTGCGAGAGAGACGGAGACACCGGAGGCAGCGTCAATAATCCAAGAGCGCAGCAATTAAAACGCCAATGATGCAAGCGAGCAGGCGCATGTCGTGACGGACGCGGCCGCCATGCCCGACTCGGGGGGCCTGTGCACCGCCCTGCCACCGCTGCCACACCCTGCCCCGCCCTTCGGGCCTTGGGGGCCGGCGGCCGGGACGTCCACGTCGAGGCAAAGGCAGGCCAGGCGAGGCGAAGCAGGCCCCTAAGAGGCACCCGTTCGGCCGTTCGGTAGCTGATGGCTGCCGCCTCGCCACGCCCCGCGCCGTGCCGCCGCGCCGCCGTGCCCCGGGGCGCTACAGGCAGGCCGTCATTAGCCATCGAGGCGGTGGCGGTGTGGCGGCGGCGGTCGAGGCGCAGCAGTGGCGTAGGCGTGGCCCGGCCGACGCCATTGGCCGGCCTCGGCGGGCCGCCACAATTATCGTTATGAGGCCTTCGCCGGCCTGCTGCCTCGGCCTCTGCCCACCGCAACGCGCCGCAACGCAACGCCATGCCCGCGTAATGACCCACCAGCCGGCGAGGGAAGGACCCGACGGACCCGAAGGACCCGAAGGCCGAAGGAAGGGAAGAACGGCCACCGAGTGCAGCCGAAGTGCAGCCGAGTGCAGAGCGCAGCTCATCCCAACTCGGGCAGCCCTTGGCCGCGATTTACCGGCCCATTACTCCGCGCCGCCCAAACAATCCGGGCCCAAACCACCCCGCCCCGCCCCGCCACGCCCCGCCCCGCCACGCCCCGCCACGCCTCGCCGCACCGCGGTTGTTGTTCCGCGCGCCGCCCACCCCACGAGGACGGAGCCCGCCGTCGTACAACGGGGCCGCCGCTGCGCGCTGCGGGACTCCCCGCCGCCAGCCGCCAGGCACTTTGCACAGTGCTTTAGAACAATTCATCTTATTTCCAGCGCAGCAGCCCGTCGTCCCGTTGCGTTTTATTTTTCCCGGAGAACATCCTAGTCTCTCTTTCTGCCTTTGCACTTTTTGTCCGAGTCGGCCACCCTTTGGGTGACACGGCGAGGGTAGCGACAAGGAGGTTGTCGTCGTCCGTGCCGAGGCCGACGATGAACACGGCGACGACGACGACAAAGGCGGTTTGGCGTCCCGTACATCACGGCCGCCATCTAAATTGGACACACTGCGCGCGCACGTGCGCCGTGGAGAGCTTGGAGGGGCCTGGCGGCCTGGCCTGGGGCCCCGGGGCGGGGAGGGTTGCGTCGACTCCTCATCCCTGTGGGAAGGGTGCCATGTGCATCGAGGACCCCTCGGAGGGCCCAGCCCTGCTGATGGGACCGCCTGGGGCGCAGGGCGGGGCGCAGGGCGGGGCGCGGCGGGGGCGTGGTGGGGGCGGGAGGCCCCGCTGGGGGTCGCCGCCATGGGGGCCGACGGCGGCCATCGCGCCGCGCGCCGCCACGCCCCGATCAGTTAATACGCAATGCCCCCCGTGCACGGCGGCACGGCGAGCAACAGGGTGGACTTGGCGTTCGACGTGCAGTCGACACCTAGACAGCGACGGCCGGAGCGTCGCGATGGACGTCGCTGGCGGCCTTCAACAAGTCCGGTCGCCGAGCCGACACGATTGCCGAAGTGGCGCCGCCACATCCGTCCGCGCGGCAAAAGCGCAACAAAATTGAAAGGGTCCATATATAAAGGAGATGCGCCGCTATATGGGCAATACTGACTGAGAGCTCCTCACCCCGCCCGCGCCGCGCCGCGCCGTCCCCGGGGAGCGAGAGGGAGAGAGCGAGAGAGAAGGCCGGGCCGCCGAGGGTGCGACGGAGAGCCCCTAATTCCCTTCGCACCCTTAAAAACCACCCTCGGCGTCACTCCCCCACTGCCCCGGCGAGAGGCTAGAGGCGCCCTCCGTGGAAGTGGTGCCGAGAGGGACGCCGAGCGACGCGGGGCGACGCCGAGAGGGAGGGGAATTGTTTCATGGGGCGGGCCGGGGCGACCGGGGCGGGCCGGGGTGGAAATGCACTCAATCTTGCCTTCACACCCCCTAACCGCATTCCACCCCCTGCCATTCCCAGACACCCCCCCCCCTCCCCGCGGCACGCCCCACCCCCACCCCTACACTTTCACTCGCCGCGCCAAACACTTTTCGCCCGGACGGCGTTCCGCGTTTCGCGCCCCGTCCCGGTGGGACTCCGACCGCCAGGTAGGACTAGACCGCCACGGCCAGCGCGACGTGTTGCTGCGTCGCCGCGTCGCCGCCGAGGGAGGTCAGGAAGGGCAGCAGCGCCAAGGACGGCCCGACGGGCCGGCCGCAAGAGGACCAGAAGGGGCGGCACGCTGGCGCGCGGCGGGGCGCACAGATTTATAGCTTTTCGGTTTATAAAGTTATGCCATAGATCTTTATCAAAATCAGTTTCATCGACGCCGAGGGCCGAGAGGGTAGGCCGAGGGCGCGCCGCGCCGCGCAACCCCCGCCAATTTATTATTTCTGGGGATGCAAGCGGTTTATTTGGCGGAACACTTGATGAAATGGCTATTACAGTAATGCTCGCGGCAACTGGAACAGCGGGTGCGGCCGGGGCGGGCCCCCACCACCACCACACTCACGCACGAGGGGTGAAATATTTGCCAGACTATCAAATCCTATTTTGGGGCCGCCTAACCTGAGTGTGTGTGTCTGTGTGTGCGGCCGTCAGCGCGCCCCCGACGACATAACGTCTCTTGCGGCCGGCTTGAGGCGGGGCCCAAATTGGCGACGATTGTGTATACGAGTGTGAGTGTTTGTGTGTCTGTGAGTGTGCGTGCGTCTGTGTGTGTGCGTCTATGTCTGTGTGTGTAAGCGTATGAACGTGTGTGTATATATGCACGTGTGTCGCGCTCGTCTGTGTGAGTCGCTGTGTGTTATTCGCCGTCTACACCCTTTTATAGCACGTGTAATCCCTCTCCTTGCCGCGGTATTCAACGGGTTACGAGCGTCATCTTCCCGCCGTAAAACAAAACGCGAGGGCCAAGGGCCGCAAGGGGCTGCGGAGGGCCGCGGCGGGGCCTCCACGATCAAGGCGGCCGTCGCGGCCAGGTGATGAGGGCGCGTTGCCGCCAGGACGGCCGTCGCCGAGGCCATCGCCGCCTCCGCAAACAAACCCTTCTCCTTCCTCCCCGGGGCGCCCCAACCGCAGTATCTCTCTCTTTCTCTCTCGCCAATTTAAGAGCCGCCGTAATTGGATAATAGAATTGCAAATGAATCGGCGCTCTGACAAAATGTTTACGAAAGCGATAAAGGAGTAAAGCAGCGCGTCGTGCTGCTCTGCCGAGTCCGGGCGAGTCCGGGCGGAGGCCCCGGGTCGGGTCCAGTCACGCTCGGAGAGCGGAAACCAAACCAAACGAAATGAAATGGTCGGTCGGCGCCAGCGCGCCAGCGGGGCTCGAACCCGCGACCTGCTTGTCCGCCGCGCCGTGCTGCCGTGCCTTGCAGCTGGGTGCATCGGCCCGCCGCGCTGCCCCCGCCCACGCCCCGCGCCACTTGTTGCGAGGGGCTAGCCACGCCGTGTGCCCCGCCAGCCGGGCTACCTGTCAGCCTCCACGGGCCGACCGCTTTTTCCGTCTCACTCGTCGCCGCGGCACCACGGCACGTCCCGCCCCGGGCGAGAGAGAGAGGGACAGAGAGACACGTCGCCGCCGAAAAATGACGCGTCAGGGCGACACGCGCCGCCGCACCCCTTTGAGGCCGGCGACGACGACGTGCGCGCCGCTCGGTGACAGGACGCGTCTCTGTCGCGCTCGCGGGGCGTCCCCGACGGTGCGAGAGAGACAGCCCGCGGGACGGAAGCGGCGAGTGGCGAAACCGCTCCGATAAATCCTGGCGATGGTCAGAGGGAGAAGAAGATTCCCGGGTGATGTGTGGGGCCCTTTTTTCGACGCGTCGCGGCGTGGCCGTGGCGTGGCCGTGGCGCGGCGGACCGGGGAAAGGAGGGCCAGAGATTCCGGGGAGAGCGAGAGAGAGGGAGGGGCGGCGAAGCCGGCGAGGCGGCCGCTGGAATGGGCGGCGCCGCGTGGCGCCACGCCATGTAAGGCAGCTATGTGGACTGGACGGGGGGAGGGGGCCGGGGGGGGACGTACGGACGCACAGACGCACACTGTCAAAACTAAATCAAAAGCCCGCCACGCATTTCCCCCTGACAAGTTTTTGTCGGGTCGGACGGCGCATACCGCGTGGCCGGCGCCAAGCACGCGACCGCGGCGTGCCGGACCCGCCGCCAGACCCACCGCCGCCGTCGAGGGGCACCGGCACGCCACTGGCACGCCAGCCAGCGCCGTCTACTAATTCCGAGGCAGAAAACTGGAAGCGGAGAAGAGGGCAGTGCGTCGGACGCGTCGCACACGCGTGGCAGGGACATCACGAAGAGAGCCTCGTCCGTGTTCGGCGGCACTAGTAATCATAAGGCGGCCCGGAGCGCAGCCAGCAGCATTCCCCACGCACGCCACGCACCGCGGTGGCGCGCCTGCACTGGCTGCCAAATCAGCGTGATGGATCGGCCGGGAAGTGGCTGGCCTAGAGGCTGGCCGGGCCCCGCCGCCCCGCCGCGATGTTTGGCACCCTGTCAAACGGATAAGGGGTCGCAGAGTGAGCGGGGCGTCTAAACGAGCGGTACTTACCAGCGGAGAGTAGAAGGCCGAACTGTCGACGCCTATGCTGGGGTAGGGGTTCTGGTCGGTGGACGGGTAGGGGGTGCCGTAGACGGGGCCCACGCCCGACGACGACAGCCTGGGGTACGACGAGAGCGCCGCGAGCCTTGCCGAGTCGTACTGGCACGAGCACACCGTCTGCCCCGACACGGGGTCCGTCATGATGGGCCGCCCGTTCTCGCAGCAGGAGCCTCCGGGCGGGGGCGGCCCTGCGCCGGGGCCCGGCGGCCCACCCCCTGGCACGGGGCCGGACGCCGCGCCGGGGACCGAGGGTACCGACCCCGGGACGGGGGTCGTCGACGGGCCCAGCGGCACCGCCGACGACCCCGTGTTGGTGGGCGTCCCTCCAGCCGGGCTCACGGCCCCGGACCCCGCCCCCGCGGGAGGGGAGGTGGCCGTGGTGGGCTGCCCCGCCACCAGCAGCTGCAACACAGAGGACACAGGGTCAGACAAAAGCGGAAGGCAGAAACAGAAAGAACCTCGTCGCTTCATTACCGCCGGCATAAAAGTCAAGGCAGCGGCGCCCCCGGCCGCCCTTTCATTTGCAGGCCGCTCAGGGCGGGCCGGCGAGGGTGGCGGCGCGCGACACTGTTTGTGTAACTTGGCCTGTTTGCACGGCCGAATCTAGCCGCAGCGCCAAGCAGCCCCAAGCACGCCGGGCACAAAGTGACGGTGCAGGGCCAATGGGCCAATCCGGGCCGGACGGGCTAGGTTAGGATCCTGTATCCCGCTGCCGATATCACCCTGATTGCACGCCTCCCCCTTGTTTGAACAGCGCCGCCCCCGGAGCCGCCCCCGGAGCCGCCCCCGAGCCCTTTCGAAAGCGTACTACAGCAGCCCGACCCGCGCCACGCCTAAGTGCAAAGCAAATGTTTGCATGTTTGGCCAAGCCTCGCCAAGCCACCAGCGCCATGGAGCCATCCCGCCCACTCCCCCTGCTGCCGCTACCGCAGCGCGGCCTTGCAAAGAGCTCGCGCAACGCACCATCGCCACTCCGAAAATACCCCTCGCCACAGGTACCCGCGTCGGCCGCCCGTCCGGCGGCGCTACCCCCTGCTCTCGGCGCTGCAGCCACGCAGCCACTCGACTCGGGGTGACCCGCGGGGACGACGTTCAGCTCGGCCCCGCTCGGCCCGGACTCCGAGGGGAACATGCAAATGACTCGCCCACACTCTCTCTCTCATTTCATCGTCGCTGTTACCAACGGCAATCATTCAAGGGGAGCGCGACGCTCGAATAAAGAGACACAATTTATATATATACACGCGCGCGCACGCACACCTCTCTTTCTCTCTCACTCCCTCTCTCCCGGCCGCGTCCTCCCAACGGCCTATTTGAAAAAATGAGGGACGAAAAAGTGGCACTGTTTTTGTTTTGTTCTCTTTATTTCAATTCATGGACGCTGTCGCGATTACTTGACACACGCATATGGGGTGGGGTGGATCCGGGGGGAGGGGGGAGGGGAGGGGAGGGGAGGGGAGGTGCTATCTTCCCCTCCATCGCGCGCAGTATTGGCCGCGCCGTTTAACTGGGTAATAAGGCATCATGCCGTAAAGTAAAATCATCATTTTCCGCAAAGCGGGCGCCGAGTGCGCGCACGCAGAGCAGTTGACGGAAAATTGATGCGGAAATAATGACGCGAGAGGGAAAGCCATTGGAATTTCCCGGCCGAGCGCGCACCGCGACGCCGCCACCGGCCGCCACGCCGCGGCGATAGCTTGCAGCGGGAATTGCACGTCCCATTGTTCGGAACGTGGCGGGGCGGGGCGGGGCGGGGCGGCCCCCATACGGCACCGCAATCCTTGAAAGTCCTGCAACACCTGGAGCCCTCCGCGCGGGCCGTGCGCCAGGCCGCCAGCGCCACCAGGCCCTCGGTGCCCCGGCCGAATGCAATTTCATGGATGTGAGCCACAAAACAATGGAGCGGGGCGAGCGGAGCGGGGCCGCGTCGCTGTCGTGACCTGCACGCCGCCCTGCCGCCCTGCCCGCCGACCGCGCGCCGCCGCCGATCAGAGTCCGAACGGAAGGAAGCGACAGGGAGGCAGAACGACGCACCAAGTATCCGGCGCGCCGTGGGTGCTCCCTCCACCACGGGCGCTCCTCCGACGAGGGATTCTCGAGGGAGCCGCCAAGCCGAAAATGCAGCGGCCGTCGGACTTACGACGGGGAAGCCCGCATCGCTCGTTCTGCCCAACCACTTCCCTCGGCGAGTCCTTTCCGCGAGGAGAGCGCCCTTCTTGGGCTTTTGCTGGGAAGGCCCCGGCCTCGCCGTCGTGGAGCTCCCCGCCAGGCCGTCGTCCTCGTCCTGGGTTCGCCCCGGCGGCCGGCAGCGTCCTGGAGGCGGTCGTGGCGTCCCTTCGGGCCCGAGGCGCGCATGGCACGGCGGCACGGCCCACCTCAGGTTTCGGCCGAGTAAATTTTCTGGAGCGTCGGACGGGCTGACTTGGGGCCGTGGGGGTCCCTCCCGGCCGGCCAGCCCCCTGCGGCGCGGCCTCGGACACGACGCTACCGGCGGGGCAGCGGCCGCCACGCGGTGCTACGCACGGCCTGCAGCCGGACCCGTCTCTCTCGCACCCCTCAGGGCCTCCAAGATCGCGAGCGAGAGAGACAGAGCGACGGCAGCGCTGTTCGGAGCCAGCCTGCACCGCGCCAATAATTGCCTCACCTGCCACCGCCACGCCGTGGGGCCGTCACCCCGGGGCCGGCCGCCGTCTCGGGTTTCCATGGTTACGACGCGCGAGCGCACACACACGCACACACACACGCACGGCCCGAAACATACACCATATTTGTCGCGGTGCTGCCAAGCGCTGCTGCCACATGCCTCGAGACCGGTGGGCCGCTTCGGCAACAACACTTAAGGAACAACACGAAAAAGTTTAAAAATTGGATACGAAAACGAGGAGGAGGAAGATGAAGGAGAGCGATATCATCTCCGGCGGCTACTACGCGGCTACGCGGCTACCGGGTGCAGTGCCGACGACACGCCGGCATGCCGGGCCGGGCCGGCCGGTCTGGCCCGCGGGCCGCGACGCGCGAGGACGCCGCACCACGCCGTACGCATCAAGATGCTATCAAATTGCTACCGCCGCAGCGTTCACGATGCCGCCGATACCATCATGGCCCGGGGCGGGGCGGGGCGGGGCGGACCACGGGCCGCCCCACACGCCCCCGGGCACTGGCCGCGGTCATCCCGAAGTCGGCCTCCGCTCGCGGAAAGCCCCCGAGCGGGGTGCGGCAGGGCCCGCGTTTTTCGGAGCCCAAAATAACCAAGCGCTATGAAAATTCTCTATTCCAGAGGTTTCGTCCCGCGTATGGGGCAGGCGCGCGGCGCCCTCTCTCCGTCACACCCCTGCTGCCGGATGCGCCACGAGTGCGAGAGAGAAAGGGTGACGAGAGCGCTGTGGATCATGGCGTCGGCGAAAAGTCAGTTCGGCGAGCACGTCACCGTCCAGCACGTCACGGTGGTGGAGGAGGCCGTGCAAGCCGTGCAGGTCGTGGAGGCGCGCTGGCCGGTGCGCTGCCGTGCCTGGCGAGCCACGCCACCAAGGCCAGGAGTAATGACTCTGTACTCCGCAGCGCTCCGCCCCGCGCCGCAGCAACACGAAGACCGGGGGCCCAACAGCGTCCACACCTCGGGACCGGCCGGCCAGCCGTACGGCCTGGAACGGCCTGTCGAGCCACCGACCGGCCCCAGGCCCCGGCCCAAAGAAAAAACAAAATTACCCTCGGCCCAAACTTAAAAAGACGACCTGGGAATACTCTCACTAAATGCTTTAGCGCCTGGGCTCGGCAACCGGGGGCCTGGCACAGCCTGGCACACTGGACCCGCGGGACCTGCAGGACGGCAGAGCGACGCGAACGGGTTTGGTGAGAGGCGCGTCCTGGAGGGCGTCCTGGACCTGGAACGCGTCCTGGAAGGCCTTGGCCGGGGTGGGGGCGGGGGGCGCCCTCCACTCATTGACGAGCGGGCCTCTGAAGCCAACATGGCGCCGTCAGGCAGCCTCGCGATGACGAACTGTGTCCTTCACCCCCACAGGGCCGCCCTGCCCGCCCCGCCCCGCGCGCCGGCTACCCTCCGAGGGAACCTGTCCCGCGAAGAGGTCCCGCGGGAGCACGCCGTGCCGCCAGGCCGCCACCCTCTCCGGCCCAAGTTGACTGCAGCCGCAGCCTCGCAGTCTCCCGGCACCGGCGACTCGGCAAAGATTTGCGCGCGCAAACGCCACTGCTAATTTTCCGCGCCGAAGTTAGACTGACTGGGCTGTAGTATTTTGCGGTTGGACGGTCCTCTGTGATTCGAGGCGTTTAGCCTTTACAGTGGAGGGTGCTGGCCCTGCCGGCCCCACCCCCGCAGGACCCATAGGGCCGGGGCAGGCCGGGGACGGGCAGGGCCCCGTGGCCGTTGACCCTCCGTTCGGGGCTTCACTTGCAGGCACTGTGTGGCCCTGAGTGGCGACCCGAGTGGCAGCCCGGGCAGCCAGCCGCCGTGTCACGAGGTGTCAATCACCTCCTCATCGACGTCGTCCTGGCCGCCCCGCCCCGCCCCGCCCCGCCCCGCCCCGCCAAACCGGAAAGGTGTCCGGATCAACAACGGAATCAAAAGTGCGCGCGCGGCCAACGCCGGCCAACGGCTACTCAGGCTGGCAGGCCGGGCAGGCCGTCAGCGTAAACGTGACAAGGGGTCGCGCCGTGCCGCGCCGCGCCGCCAATGCGCACAATGTCGCTATGACAATTTCACAAGTCAGCGCGTCGCACCGCCGAAGCCGAACACGCGCCAACACAATTTGGCCGGCTGCGAGCAGTGTGCGAGTGTGTGAGTGCGACACGGCAGCGTTCCGCGAGCCCCATGTGTGTGACGCCAGCCACGCCAGCCACACCAGCGCGGCCCGTGGGCTCGGCGGGTGCGGGGCGCGGGGCACGGCGGGGTCGCCGACCCCCCGGAACTACGGCGCAGTGGTGGCGGTGCTCGGTTTCGCAACAACTTACGAGCAGCGAGGACTAAGTAGTCCCGCACAGTGCAGCGAGCGGTGCGGGGGCGGCGCGGGGGCGGCGCGGGGGCAGAGAGGGGCGCTCGGCCGGGAAACTCCCATCCACCAGGTGCACGCCCTGCACGCCCTGCACCGCCCTGCAGTGCTGGATTTACCAATCGCCCGCTTCGCCAATTACCTAAAATACCACGCACTACACTGCCAGCTGCAGGCCGAGCTGCTAAACCGGGCGGGGCGTGTCCGCTCCCCTAATCTCGCAGGACGTCGTCCAGGCCGTCGTCTAGGCCGTCGTCACGCCGGATTACACCGGGCCAAGTAGTTCCCGGGCGTGGAACACGTGAACACGTGTACCACACTGTAAACACGCGCGTCCGCACCGCCGCCTGCTGCCCGCACCGCACACTTCATTTCGAATTTTGGCGCGCATTCCCGCGGTCTTCCCGCGCCTGCTCTCGTTTGCCCGAGCAGCGGCCTGTAATGACGGCAGGGTTATTATCGTCGCTTGGCAGCCACTCTTGTTAATGCTACCTGTTTTGTGCCTTTCAAAAACTTTATGCTTCACAGGCACGGCTCTTCCACGCCACACGGCCGCCATGCGCAGCAATGGCAGCAAGCAAAGCTCTCGAATAAGACCTAATGAGAAGTAATGAGTGCATAATCCCCGACACTTACGCCTCATGTTTAATTAACCACATACGCGATAACTTTACGACCGCGTGGTAAAGCACACGAACAAAAGATTATTGGCGTCCGACTTTGTAAAAGCGCGCGCAGCTCATTCGGGAATGAGGAACATCCGGGTCCGTTTCTCCGAGCCATCATTGAGAGACCGATTAAAGATGTCGAATTGAATAATATCCGCCATTTTACCACCTGCAAGTAGGCAACATGTGTGGCAATCAACGCCAGAAATCTAGCACATTCTTGCACATTCACACAATCATTGTACACAAAATTTTACAGTGGGTCACCCCTTGTGGGGCCCACTCTTGGCGCGGCACGCCACCTCGGCACGGCTGTTCCAGGCTGTTCCAGGCTGTCCCAGCGTGTCCCCCACACACTCATACACCACGGCGCTATCTGCGAGTGCCGCCGCCCGACGCCTTCTTTATTAGCTTCATTAAGATGGCGGCCGACGACCACGCCGTCGTCGCCCGGTGCGTGCGGTCGCGTGCACAGTGTGTCGCCGCAAGAGGAGAAACAATTACGGTACAGCCATGACGCGGATGGGACTGGGCTGATTTTGGGAGGCCGCTGTGTCCAATCTACTTGCCGTAGAAGGCCTCCCTTAACGCCCTAGACCACTCTTTCACGCCCTGCCTCAGGAAGGCTTTGACCTCGCAAAACCAGTAACCTTACAAAGTTGGTCAAAAACTGATTGAATCTCCCAAAGTATGATTGCGATTATGTCGGATTGTGTTGATTATTTCACTGATTACCAGCTAGACGTAGTACACTGATATCTCGAGTTGGTCACCCTGGCACCGCCTCGAACTAGACGGTGTACCAATCGGCGGTGCGCGATTTATGTACCGGCCGCCCCCTTGAATGAAACGGAACGCGAGGCGGGTCCACTGTACCATGATGCCATCGGACCGAGAAGGGAGGGGAGGGGGGGGGGAGCCCAATTGCACAGTGGAGTCACACCAACAACCACCAAGATGGCCGTCTAGCTTTCGTCTGACTGCGAGCACACTGCGAGCGACGTGGTTGCGCGCCGCGGCGCCGCGCCCTTCAGGTTGTGCACGGTTGTGCAGCGAGTTCCGGTGCGCGGCACCACCACACTGCCACCACACCGCCACCGCACCGGCAGCAGGGGGCGCTACGCAGTGAGCGTCGCGACGGACCACATTCCGCTGCCGACAAACACACACAGGCACACACACACAGGTGCAAGCGCAAGTGCGCGCACACACACACACACACACGCACACATCGTATGCGATCTCCCCCTCCGCAAGTCCACTCCGTACAATAATTCGGAAGATAAGTAATTCCTTGTTTATGTTTATGTGCAAGTTTACGAGGCCGGCAATACGATGCGATGCGCGGAGTAGCCGCGTGTGTGAGTGTGTGTGTGTGTGTGTGTGTTTGAGTGTGTGTGTGTGTGTGTGTGTGTGAGTGTGTGAGCGCGGTGCGGCGGGCGGCGCGCGGCGCGACGCGGCGGTAGGTGGTCCTCTCCGGACGCACCGCGTCGCACACACACACCTACACACACCTCCACACACGCACGACCGCCAAGCGGCCGCGGCCGAAAGCGGCGATTAATTGGCAGCGGACGCGTCAGCCCGTCCAAATTCACGCTAGAAGTAATTATCGCCACGATTTTCTTCCCAGATAAACCGGAGAGGAGCCACACACAGCACGGCAGCGGGGCAGCCGATGTTGGCAATACTTTACGGTGCGGCTCTGCCGCATCGCCGCTTCGCGCGTCGTCTGCTCCCGCCACGCCCACGACACGCCCGCCAGCGTGTCCACTGGAAAATAAAGAATCTGGAAGGGCGCAAGAAAAGGGGAGAATCCGGAGGGAAAAGGGCCCTGCATACGCAGCAGTGGCCGTAAAAGGACTAAAGGACTCGACTCTCCGGAATCGGCGTGTCCGCTATCGTTATCTGGGCCAGATAATAGTGCCAAGTGGCAATGAAACGGCGTCCTGCACTGCTTTGTGGCGGCCAGCGCGACTCCCACACACACACACACTGGGCGAGCCGCGTTGTCTCGGCGCGCGCCGAAATTTGAATACAATTTGGAGGCAAACGGAGATGGAATGACGCCCGTAAACTGGAGTCTTCCATTCAGAGTCCATTCTGGGCCCCGGACGGCCCGCACGGCCCGGACGGTCCCATATAACCAAAACCGGGGGGAGTCGTCCGAGACACCGGACGGGGGCACGGCGGGCACGGTCAGCTCGGCCAGCTTGGCGTGCCGGAGGACGCACCGAGTGCAACACTGTTGCGCGGGGCGCGGGGGCAGTCCGCCGGTCCGGAAGGCAATCGACGACGGCGACGTGACAACGGCCGGGACGCCGACGAGGCACCTCCAGCGACACGGCTTTTATTAGCGGCCCGGGGACCAGGGCGGCCAGGGCGACTGCGAGCAAGGGTTGGAGGACAGCCATCCATGATGCAGGAGGCCGTCAGGCCGTCAGCGAGGCCGCGGGGCTGGCGGGGCTGGCGGCACTCCGCGCGCGTCGACAAGCAGCACAAGCAGGGCACCAAGCACCCCCGCGGGGCCCAGCCCGGCGCCACCGCTTGGACGCCATCACCGGCAGCCAGATAGATGAACGAGGGGCCCGGAGCAGCCGAAGAAGCACCTCGAGTTGTTGTTTGTGCTGCGCTGCTCCGCCCTGCCTCCACCCCGCGGTGACAAGAACACGATCAAGTTTACCTCCGGCGGAGCAAAGTGCCCCGAGAAACATTGCGGGGGTGGGGGCGCCCGGGCGCAACAACCACCAGCACGGCAAAAGTGAAGTGGCAGCACGGCGTAGCACGGCGAAGCACGGCGCCACGCGACGACGGGGCCGATTTAATTCCACTCCAGCGCTATGATGACCGACTGGCCAAATGTTTTCCCACAAAGGGGACGAAACGCGTGTCGACCGCCACCTCGCCAGCAACTGCAGCCCAGTCCGCAGACACAGGCTACATAAATACCTGTGTGGTCACCAGACACTTTGGGCACCGATTATTCAGCTCCACTCCCCGGGGCCCTCTCGGCCCGCAGCCTCGGCCAGGTAGCGATCCGACGGACACCCCGGGGCCAGTCCGGGGCGGGGGCTGCCCCCGGGTACCCCGAAGGCGGCCGTCGTGCGTCTCCCTCGCACCCATTAGTGCGTAAGAGAGACGCGGGATGAACGCCCCACGCCCTGGGCCCTGCCCGGGCCCTGGGCCCCACGGGGGGCGCCGGCCCGGCAGCGACGCCCGCCGGTGGCGACGACGACGTTATGTATCCGTCCTTTTATTACCATTTCTTCGACTTCTTTTCCCCCTCTTTTTCTTTTCGCTCGCCCTCCCCCGTCTTCTCGAGAAAGATAAACACACACACGCACACACCCCCACACACAGACAGGCGCAGGATGACGCCCCCGTGTGCGGGCCGGGCGGGCCGGCGATAGGCATAGAGACATAACGTCGCGAATTGTAAACTACCCGCTCGTATAACACGCGTGTTTATGGCCCGCAATGTGCGGTGGGGCCGCGGTGTTGGCGGAGGTAATTTGGACAGCAGCACGCCGATGATGCGTGCTTCTGCGTGTTCATCAAGCGGCGTGCGCTGTCGGCGGTGTCCATCACGCCACTAAGCACGCCGTCTGCAAATGCGTGCACCGGGGTTGCACCGCGCGTTCTCGGCGCCGGTGGCGTTGGCGGCGGCGGCGGAGGTTCGCGTCCCGGAGGTGGCCGTCGTCGCCCCGGCCGTCGATGCGTTTCTCCGTTCTAATTGGCGCGACAAAGACCCGTCAGACAATGCTCGCTGTCGCCGGCGCCACGGCCGGCGCCGTCCGGAACCGAGGGAGACGCCGGCGCGCTGCGAGGGAGCGAGAGAGAGAGACAGAAGAGCGAAAAAAGAGCGTGAGAGCGCCGCGACCATTAATTGGCTAGTTATTGCTTGTTGAGAATGGGCGGCGGAATGTCGCGAGGCGCGCCACTGGCGCCTAGTTCGCTCGGCCGTTTCCATTTTTACAATTAAACGGTACGGAATGAATGAAATCGGGTGCTAATTACCCATTGTTCGGCGTACCAGTCGCTTTTTCGACGGCGTTTCTTTTGTTCGTTCGCGCCGTTTCGTTCACCCGCGCTGCGCCAGGCCGCGCCGCGCCGCCGGTGGTCCCGCAGCCCCGCCGTGGTGCCCCGCCATCCCGGACCTGTTCATTGTCCATTGACGGCGGTTCGCGGGTACTCGCCGACGACCGGCGGGGCTTCTTCTAGACACACTTGTTCTCCGCGGCGCGGCCTCGGCGCGGTGTCGTGGGTGGCACTGGCCGAGCACCGGGCCGCGAAGCAATGCGAAGCAATGCGAAGCACCGCGACACGATAACCCTTCCGCCAGTCACTTGGACATGATCGCGGTCCTCGAGTACTTGTTCAAACACGGCGTATTACACGGCGGCCACTCCACGCGACACACCGGACCGATAGCGCGCCACTCGACACAACGGGCAGACGCACGCAATGCGGGGCTCCTATTATAGTGGATTGGGTCCCAGATTCCGAAAAGGGCCCACCGACCACAATGCCACCTCGACACAAACGTCGAGGAGGACCAACAAAAGGCCTGCCTCTTCACGGCGGACACACACACACACACAAACACACCTCTGGGCTCACCTGGGAGGGCGCCGGGTACGAGTACCCGAACTGAGAGTACGCTGACATGTCCAGCAACAGCTTGGCGATTTTAATGTACACTTGGCGGGGAAGAAATCACCAGCGTTGGCTCGCTGGGCTCGCGCTAGCCGTGCGCTAGCTGCTCTCCTCCGTCCTCGCCGTCCTCTGCGGGGCGTCGTCTTGGCGCCGTCCTGGGCCGCTCGGGGGCCACGACATGGGGTGAACTAGCGGGGCTAGCAACCGAGCCCCGTCCCCGTCACTGCACTGCACTCGCGAGGGAAGGCAACGCGTCGCTCGCGCCACTCAGTGGCCGGCGAGCATGTCACCCGGTGCGATCCGGCCGGGGCGGCGAGCGCGGCGCTGGCTGCGGGGCGAGCCGACGAGGCGAGCAGGACGAGCCACGGGGCGACGGGGCGGCCCGCCTGTGCCGCTGCTAACGCTGCTAGGGGATGCCTCGCGACTGAGCGCGGCAGCGCGGCGCGGCGTGCGCAGACAGGGCCACGGAGTGGAGCCAGGCGCAGCGCGCAGCCACAGCCGCACCGCGCACTTTTTAAGAAGTCACTTGTTGATTGTGCTTCGCGGCCACTCGCCACTCGCGGCGCCGCACACTCACTCACTCACTGTGCACTCGTCACAAACACACTGCACTTTCACGCGCGAGTTTCACGCTGGACGACGTTGCTGATGTTGCTGTTGTTGTTATATCCCAGGTTGTTGTTATCACTGTAGGCACTTTTCACTGGACGTCACTCGCGACGCGGCCGGCTCGGCGCGTTTGTCGGTGTCGCCGATTATGGCTCGGTGACAATGGCCGAGTAATATCAAAGAGGGTTTCCAAAACACGGCGAGCGTGGCACGGCGGCACGCCACGGCGCGGCACGGCGCGGCACGGCGGGGTGGGGGTGGGTCGATGGCTGGAGGGTGGCACGGCACGCGAGCAGCCGACGGGGCGGCGCGGCGGCGCGGCACGGCGGGGCAGGGCAGTTGGCCGCGGACTAGCGCCGGGTGGCGTCGGCGCGGAGGCGCGTCGGAGGGTCGCGGCGTGCGGCCGCCCTAACCCCAGCGCGTCGGGGTGGCTGGCAGGCCGGCAGGCTGCAGGGCGTGGCGGGATGCGGCGCGGGGCGCAGCTGGGCCTGCGAGCGGCACGGCGGCACGGAGGGTGCTCGCGCCGGCAGGGAGAAGCCTCGACTGACGAGCCGGCGCCGGCCCAGGGGGACCCCTCTGGCGGCGGCCGGCCGAACCAAACCGGTCCTGGCTGCCCCCTCCACCGTCCACTGGCCCTCCCCACGCCGCGCCGCGCGCCGCCGCCAGCCAACGGCGGGCCCGCTCGCTGCCGGGCGCTGCCGCGCGCTGCCCCCACGCCCCGCCCCGCGACGCGCCGCGACGCGCCGCGACGCGGGCACTGGGCCGCGCGCCGCCCCCACCCGTTTGTTGCCCCCGACCCGAACGCGGCCCGCCACGGGGAAGGCCCAGCCGGCCGGGGTGGTTTGCTCAATGAATGTTCCGAAAAATGCGTACAACACTCCGGCTCTTGGGGACAAGGGGTGGGAGGTTAACCAAACAAAACACAACAGTTGCTCCGGGCTGCCGGGCCCGCCCGGGGCTGTGGGCTGCGGCTGGGGAGTCAGGGGGTGGCGGCGGCGACGTCGACGTCGTGGAAGTCGCGGCTCCTCGCCGCAAGTCGGCCGCAAGGCTCTTCGGGAAGTCGACTGTTTCTACCGTGTTCCCGACGTGAATTGTTGCTCACTCGCCGAGTCCTCCCCAAACTTTGAGAAGCCATCCCCTTCTTCCGGGACTTGCAGGTTGCCTCGGTGCAGCACATCCAAAGCACATCCACGCGGCCACGCGGCCCGGCATGCAGGCCGCGCAAAAACGGGTTATGGGTGCAGATTTGATCCGAACACGGTTTTAAATATTCGTAATGAGTGAGGCCGGCATTAAACACAAGGGCTTATGATTTATACGGCAACACGTTCCTTCGAACGCACTCACACAGACGCACGCACACGCACGCGGACCAATCAAAGGGCCCGCCGCGGTGCGTTCACCTGATCCGAGCACACGGTGACAAGCACTTGTATGTGAGAACGTGTATTCATGGTGCGCGCGTGTGTGTGAGTGTGTGTAAGAGAAGGGGGGAACGCAGAGGGAAGAGTACACCTCATTCGATCATTGATGTTATGTCGTACAATTTCATTCACGAGACACAGTATCGGATGACAGGCTGAAGTACCGTTCGCAGCGCATATTCTTCTCCGCGTCCAACTTTTTCGTCCGCGCGCGTGCCCCGTCCTTACAACCAACAACAACAACACTCGGCTGAGAATAACTTAGGCGCCACTAATTACAACACAAGTTGGGAGAAGTTTGGCGCGGCATAACGACCGGTTAATGAAAAGCGGCCATTCTTTCCCTGGACGCGTTTACTCATTCCAGACGCACTAATGTTCTCACCCGGGGCCTCGCCGCGCCGCCTTATCGGAAGTGTTATCATCTTAATAAGACCGTGTTTTACATGCCCGCCTAATACGGGTGAGTACGCGGGGCCGCGGACGCGGTGGCGCGCCGCTCCAGGTTCGGCTGCGTCACTCGACCGGCCCACCGCGCGGCTACACTAGAAAACAAAAACAAAACAGAAAGCGCGGAGGGAAAACGAACGAGTAAAATCAAAGCGGCTATCGCGCGCACGACGCCCCACGGCGGTGGCCCGATGCTGATTCGCTGATTCTTATAAAATGAGCGGCCGATAATCGAAATAACAACTGGCGGCGGGAGAGCGCGGCGAAGCGCGGAGCGAGGCGAACGGAACGGAACCATCGTTTGGCCATCAGCCTCCCGGGCCGGGCCGCCCCGCCCAGCGCCGCGCTGCGGATAGTCCGGATAGTAGTTTGGGCACTCCAAGTACGGCATGGCCATCGACATGGCGATGACCGCCGCGGGGAGCGACATGCAAAGCAGGCAGCGCAGGCAAACAACAACAAGAGACTGATGACGGACGCCGACGGACAGCGCCTTTTTGTTTCGCGCGCACAATTTTTCATCGCTCGGCCGGCCGGTCCGGCCCGGCCCGGTCCGTTGGGCGCCATCTCATTTGAATCAAGTCCCCGGCCCGGCCGGCCCGGACCGAGATTCGAGTCCGATGATCGATTATTGATCGGGGTGGCCGTGACTGTCCGGCCTGCGGGCTCATTTCGAAAGTGCTCGTCGTCGCTCTGTCTCCCTCGCGCCCCCGCGGACCGCCCCTTGAGCGCGAGAGAGACAGCTGTCCGCGTTACGCCTCCGCGGTGTAGTAACGCCGTTTTAATGGTCCGGAATGGGTTCAGAATGGGTGTAGGAGCGGAAAGTATGCACACCGCGCTGCTCGGCGTTGCCTGGCCGCGCTGGAGCCATTCTGGAAGAGATGAGTCCACTACCTCCAATGGATTGGAGGTGAATCCATTGGAGGTAATGAGCCCCCCCCTTCTGGAAACAAGAAATAATGAATGGATCATTTTGATCTCGTTGCTACCGATGCTGAGTTTCCGGCCGCGGCCGTGGACCAATTTCTTTCGAAGGAGAGAGGACTGTAGAAAGAATGGGTGGTCGTGCAAAATCGGACCCACGCTGACCCGGAGTTTTCTTTTATTTTTCACTAAAGTTCTCCTCGGGTCCATGATTGCTTGTTTCTTCGTCTGCTTCGTCTTTTTATTTTTTGAGCGGGCATGAAACCATTGGCAGTTCCCGTGATCCATCACCCTTGTCGAAGAGTGTCGCCGAGGGCGGGCTGCCGTCATCGCGGCCAGGGCGGCGGGCACACCGTCAGCGCGGCAGCGCTTCAGCCAATCGGACGTTGCGAGCCGGGCCGCCACAGCGCCGCCATCGCCCAGTTCCGCGTAAAGCAAAACGAATCGGGTCGCGTCACAAATACCCGCCCGATAATGCAGAGGGTGGGTGAAAATCCGAGAAGTCCGCGGCGTTTATTTTGGCGGTGCGCGGTTGTGCGGGGGCGGAAAGTTGCGAACGCGGCCGCCGGCTGGAGGCTGGCTGGATGCTGGGGGCACAGCGGCGCTGGAGTGCTGGAGAATGCGTGGCGCCTGGAAGGGCAGCAGCGCGCTACACATCTTCTCATTAGCGGTACACGTGCTCGGCGATGTCGGCGCCCCGCCCCGCCCCGCGCCGCTGGGGGCTCTATGCGGCTCTATGCGGCGCTACGCCACCCCGTGCCCGCACTTTTCATCCACCCGCACTCACACTGCGCTACAGCACTAGCGCACGCTCTAACGAGCCTGCATGTGTGTGTTGTGTGTGTGTGTGTGTGTGTGTGTGTGTATGTGTGTGTGTGTGTGTGTGTGTGTGTGTGTGTGTGTGTGTGTGTGTCTGTGTGTGTGTGCGCGCGCGCGCGTGTGTGTGCGTGTGAGTGTGTGAGTGTGAGTGTGCGGGGTGATGCGCACTGCGAGTTCGCCGAGTTCGCCGAGGTCCTCCAGCAGGTGGAGAAAGCTCGGCCGCCTTGTCGAGCGGGGAAGGGCGGCTGGCTGTGCTGGCTGTGCTGGCTGTCTTGAGCACGCCGATCTAGTAATCCCCGTGTCCCCAATGAGTCATGCGGCTAAAGGACCATAATGCTCTGTGAGGCGGGCAGGCGGGCAGGCGCCGTGAGCAGTGAGACAGTGAGCAACGCCATAGGAATGCACGGCACACGCCCGGCCGCCCCCGCCGCTTCGACAACAACACTCCCTGCAGGGCGGCCGCCTAGGAAAACCTAAAAGCGACCCAGGTCGGCCGCCGGAGGTTCGACTCCCCGTGCCGCCGACCGAATTTTTCCGAGACGACCGGGCGAGCGATGCCGAGCTATTTTCGAGCGTCGGGAGAGCGAACGGGCCGCGCGCTCTGTCACGTCGCCAAGCTCGCGAACACGCTCGCGGCCTTGACGGCGTGCCCGAGCGTGGCGGCGCGCCATCGCAGCAAATCGGTGTACAAGTCGCGGCCGATGTCCCGCGGACCTACATCGCGGTGTCCGACACGTCCTGCAACAAGTTCATTCCTGGCCGTGCCGCGCCGCGGCGGGGTCGCCCTGCTTGCTTCGCTGCGGCGGCGCGGCTTGCTGGCAAAATGATGCCCAGACAGCAGCACAGAGGCCGATTTGGGATTTCGGCATTTGTTCGCTTGTTCCAAGAACATTCATTTCCCGACCGCCAGACAACCTTTCCCTTGTTGAGACCCACTATCGGGCCCACGACGGTCGCCGTGTCACCTCCTCGTCAGCCGGCCAGACGGACCGAGACGGACGCAGATAGTGCGCCGCTCGATTTCTCATCCCGACGCTAAGTGGTCGTCAAGAGGACGGCGTCGAGCAAGGC